GTCAGTTTTATCAGACAATTACATTATCATTGTCAAAGTTTTCCTTTAGCTCGCGCTCCAGTGCAGGATAACGACGAAAGCAACATCTCAGCGATTGGTTCGTTGAGACGCACGTGCTTTACATTTGTTGCGTAACAGTGCGAGACACTTCACCCAAAAGAAAAGCCTTCGGTTAGCCGTGTCTTTTCAAACTCACAAGTTTTTTGCGAGAAACGCCATTGGAAGAGTTATAAAATGGGATCAGCTTTGAGTTCATTCAAGTCAAAGAGAAAAGGAAGGAAGGTTAGCAAAAGGTAAGGGATTCTTGAGAAGATTTCAGAAAAAACGGAAGCTGAAAAAGATGAAGTACTGTACTTCGTAAAGACGTTTTCAGTTCCTTACGCTTCCTTGAAAGTTTCTTACGCATTCGGTGTTTATTTTTTGGTATTTGATGTTAGATGGTTTACTAGTCGCTTTGAAATTCTTTTTTAGTTTTATTAGGGTAGTTATGATAAACTTTTGCCATCATTGATCTGTTTTGTTCTTTCCTACAATAGAAGGTTGAGGGAGCAGTTGAAGGAGGCTCAAGAGTGTATCGCTCGACTCCAAGAACAACTGCTGCTTGAAAATAAGTAAGTAACCACTGAATTCTAGCTTGGTCATGTCAAATGAGCATTAAATCATATTTTTCAATTTTTCTCTCTTCAGTTGCTATTAGACTACTATCCTATTTTGACAACAGAAAAATTATCAAGCGACACCAGACAAAATATATTTTAAGCATTAGAGGCTGGTTTTCTCTCTGTCTTAATCCCTCCTAATACTCTCTGCAACAGTAGACAGAAAAAGACACAGAATAGAATCCCGTGAAAATATTTACTTTGAATTTTCTCCACTCATCAGATTTCAAAATGGTTTCTCGCGCGGAGTAATAGTTAGCTTTTCAGTACTTCAAAAAGGCGCTGTTTTGACATTCCTTTGATGTTTTTCGGTAGGTTACTTGATCAGTTTCCAAGTCACCAAAGTGATAACTCGGATACTATAACCGATGCAATTGAGGCATACTGTGGAATGACAGAAATGGAAAAAGAAATTCAAACTTTGCAGAGAAAACTTTTTTTCGGAGAAGTTGCATTGAAACTTACGCAAGAGAGATGTCAGCTGATGGAGAACAATTACAAGTGAGTGCAAGTGCTCTTTAAGTGTTCTTCCCAGGTCTCTCAGGTCACATCAGTTCTCTACCTTCTTTGAACTTACTTGGCATGGAAGAGGGTTTTTAAAATCTCAGTTAAGTATTTAGGGTCTTATGAGTGATCTGCGCTCTTAAAAAGTCGCCTAGTTACTTACCAAAACGTTTCTTTCCTCTAAAGCATCAAAAATTCGTCCTGATTTTATGCGATTAGTTAGGATCTCATAGTAACTTTGGTGAAACATTCACGCAGTGGGACACTTTTTCTTCCTAGCATGATAAGAATACCTTCCTTACCACAGTTGGCTTCATTTCTCCACAGCCTTCTCCGAACTAAGGAGAAAAACCTTCTCTGGCAGAGCCTAGCGTGTCAAACAAAACTACAGGATTTGAAATCAAAACACGAGTTCTCACGATCTAAAGAGGCAACCCCAGCGGCAAGATGGCTAGCAAGCTCCTTACCTAATCTTTACCTGTAAGATATAGAAATTTAGGGAGGTGCTTTTACATTCATGGAAAGAAAAATGTGAAAGAATTTGTGAAAGAAGCTAATTGTCAATTAGTTTCAAGGGCTACATAGAAGAGAAGTAGCTAAAAAGAAAGATTTGATGTACATGCAGTTCATAATAATTTTATTATTACTATTATCATTATTATTGTATTTAGTCCGTCTTTAGGTGTAAATGAATTAAATGAATTAAAAAGTGTTGTCGTGTGAAAAGCTTGTGCTACATATTCTTTGGTATCTGGTCAACTCGCCACCACCACAAATTCGCCACCACCACTAAAAGTCATCTCACCACCAGTAGCAAATTGAACTAACGTTATGCATAGTGTCTCAATTATGGAACGATAACCATTAAAAGCAAGAAGAATAGCGAGTTTCAGTGTTACATGAAATGAAATAAAAAATCTTGATGTCGCGAGGATTTCGTAAAGCGAAGGCAGAGTGAATTCCGCTCAGTGATTTTTGCCGACGTTTATGAAATCGTATGAAACGTACAAGGTAAGATTTTGTGGTATATTGCGAAATTAGGCGCGAACAAATCGGGTGAAAGCTTACAGAAAGGGGCTTAGCGTCCCTTCTTTGTGTGAAGCACCACGATGCCGGCAAAATCTACATTGGTGAAACGGGAAGACCTATACAAAAGTGAATGAAAGAACACAAGAGGGATATACGTTGAGCCCGTACCCAGACCTCCGCCGTTTCTGAGCACGCCAACAAGACCGGCCACTACCCGCTTCGGAACGAAGTAAAGACGATGCCCTGAATCGAAAGCCGATGCCCTGAACGCGAATAAATCGCACAGAATTGAAATGTTTTCCCACATGGGCAGCAATTACACATTTTAATAATGATAGTAATTAGTCAGGTCAAGAACTGCTTTAATTAAAAAGTGTGATGACCTACAAGCCATATCAAGTTCATCCTGACTTTGTTATCCAGACCACATTCCCTAGCTACTCCTTCAGTTTATTTATCTGTGTTACTAAGGTGAGATGAGTCACTGCTGTTTTTGTTGCCGTTCCAAAATTTTTGATTTCCTATCCATTAAATTTAGCAGTGGTTTCATCCATTACAAAATAGACCTCATGTCACATAATTCCATCAAGATAATTATGTGCAAATTTTTCCAATGAAACTTTGAAACCAATTTCCCAATTAATCCTTAAAATAGCTCTCGCTACATATGTTACTCATGATTAAAGGGGTAAATTTCTCAAAGAACTGTGGTGCTGCGTCGGTGGGAGAGTATAACTGGGTAATTTAGTATTATCAACTGAGTTGATGACGTAAATTGCCCACTGTCAGGAGCTTAAAAGCTGACGTTTCAAGCGTTAGCCCTTCGTCAGAGCGATTGTATGGAATTATTTTATAGTATGATTGTGTGTACAGTTATTTGTATAGTCTGCTTTCTCTTACCCTTTTTTCCTCTCCTCAATCTTTTTTACTATCAGTCCTCAATCACTCTGACAAAGAGCTAACACTTGAAACATCAGTCTTTCAACTCTTTATAATGGCCAATTTACGTTGTCAATTCACTTGCCAGTTGATAATACTTGATTACCTTATATGTGTTACTCAGTCTAATTAATAACTTGTCCTCAACTTCTGGAACATATCACTGATTTTTAATGTTTTCTCTCATAATGGCCACACTCTTAGCATGCTCCACATCAATCTCAAAAAAAATCCATATTAAGTAAGATAGATGATTGGATGATTTTTAATAATCAATACCCCTGTTCAACATCCACCTCAAACTTGAGCTTTTCCCCAGCTTCAAACAACAAAAGGTTTTCAGCAAACAACTCTGCAACCTTAAAAACAAACAAATCAAAACATATATCAATAAATACTGGTAAGTAAAAGATAAAAGAAAATTAAGAGAAAATACCAAGCTCAAACAGTACAGTTTTTTTTTTTCATCTGTTAAATTATAAACCTGTTTTGATTTAAAAACTTTGTTTCTGAGTCACAACTACACGTATCGAATATTCGGACGATAAACTAGCTTCACATGACAAACATTCTTTTCCAGCTAGGATTTAAATATTGAACAAAGCTGCTACATAATGGTAAACATGTGTAAATGACAATAGCAGGTTTTATAATCCACAACGACTTATGCTCACCAGGTGACAAGATAAAGAGAGAGGTCTCTGTGAAGAATTCTTTTGTATTTAGTGCTTCCAAAACAAGTCTTTACAACTCATTTATTGCCTTAATCATTGCACAAATCCAAAGCGGTGTGAGTTTGTGCAACTTCTTGTGCAACCAAAATTCTGTTGCAAAGACATTTAAATTTTAACCATGTTGCAACAACTTGTCACCTGGTCTTCACTCTTTCAAGCTCATGTTCAATTTACCTCTTCTGGAAATGAAATTGCTGCAATGTGAGGTGTGATTATCACTTGAGGCATCTTCCACAAAGGACTTTCCTTTGATAGTGGTTCAACTTCACACACATCTAAAATAGCACCTGATATCCACCCTTGATCTAATGCATATATTAGACTTTTTTCATCTATTACATTTCCTCTGCCAACATTAATGAAAACGGGACGCTTGTCTTTACCACTCTCAAGTACTCTACCAGATAAAAGATACTTTGTGGCAGGTGTACTTGGTAATAAGTTACACACATAGTCACATGACTGTAGAACTTCAGGAAGTCTTGATATAGTTGTATAGTGGTCAACTGTATCTTGTCTATCCGACTTTTCACGACGCCCAACACCCCAGACAGTCATACCAAGAGCTTTGCACATCTTTGCAACATACTCTCCAATGTCTCCTAGTCCAAGAATACCAATGGTCAGTTTTGGCATCACACGGTAAGAATAGTGATCAGTATTCCTTGAAAAACAATTAAAAGTCTTGTGATTAACACAAAAAATTAAACATCATGAACACATTTCATAAAAATGAATTCTGATGATTTTCCTTACATAATGTTTTTTTTTCAAATAATTTTATTCAGAGTGATGACAAATGTAAAATGTCTCTCAAAGGCAGTAAAGTTATGCTCACGCCACTAAAAGTTACATTTAACCATTGGATCACTTTAACCTTTTCACCCCTGAGAGAGACTAGCATATAATTTCTCCTTACAGTATCACCCCTAAATAAACCATTAAGGTCACAAGAATAAAGAAAATGATCACCAACTGAATAGGCTCTTGATTATGAAACAAATTCTCCTTGTTAGCACCTTACAAAATGTGAAGATAACAGTACTGAGAATGTGTATACTGATGTTAGGGTATTAATAACCCTTTAACTGTAGGAGTAACTAGCATCCAATTTCTCCTTACAGTATCCTTCCTGAAACAAACATCAAGGTTATGAGAATGAATCAAATGATCAAAAACTAGAGAAGCTCTTGATTGTCTGACAAATTCTCTATGACAGTAAGATAGGAAATGTTTAAAGATTAGTAATTGGATACTTTGCAGACTGGCGTTAAAGTGTAAAGGGTTAATACCACATGCAAACTCTAAGGTTACAATTTCAATTTCTCAACTATTGTCATGAGGGCCACCTTTGAGGGAAAACAATAAAACAGGGATCAAATAAATATCGTAAAATCATCTGTGATGTATCTTCAACTCCTCAGTTTCTTTGCTATCAGTGAGCATAATGATATGTAATACTCAGGCCCCAGTTGTTCAAAGTGTGGATGATGCTATCCATTAGATAAATCTCACTCTGGTAGATATGTATAATTAATACGTATATGCTGGAGAGCAATTTATCTGTTTGAAAAACTAGGCCCAGAAGTAACAAAAGATTACCAATCATTATGATACATTATTTGTAAGACCTTACATTTTCACTCACTGACCCAAGAAATAGTTAATCTTAATAGATAAAGGTGTGCTACAGTCAGGGTAAACATATAGTTTCCTACCAGTCGCATTTCTGTTGATCACTCCATAATTTTCTGAAATCCCTCTCCCAAGAGGCAATTTGACCAATAACATACTGAGCCATAGCAGGACCAAAGACACCGCCAAATCTTGTTACCTTCAGTGAGGTGTTTTGCTGAGATAAGATATATGGAATAGCTTTATCTATTCCAGCCCAGGTCAGCTGCATCCATTCAAGTTTGGAAAGTTTGGATAAATGTTGTGGTGCAGTGTTTGGATCAGTCAGTAATATTTTAGCCTCTTGTAGCTTCTCCACCTCTGTATGCAGACATGATTAAGGACAATAACATCTTTAGAATTCATTAGGAATCATTAAACTGTGTTAAAGGCACATAACCAATGCCATATGCTGACAGGGTATTGATGTAACAATGACTAAACTACAGTATTTTATCCTTTGCAAATTTGAGAACTCTAGTAGACAAAAAAAAATTAAATTAAGAACAAATTTAGCTATATGCAATTAAATCCCATCCAACTCAAAATAATGCTGCTGAGGAATGCATCTGTTACATTGCATCACCATGGCTGTTTGAAAGTAACAGCTTTCCCTCTAGGCTTTTTACTAGCAGTATAGAGTTATGTTCAGGTCTCAATTTTTCCAAACTACAACAGCCTTACTTTGCCTACCAGTTGGTCAATTACGGATTACCTGTTTGTTGGTGTCTGGACAGATGCCATCAATGCGGTTGTCATGGTTACCTACTGTTCTCAGTGGGTCCACTGAACTTCACCCTTACTTATCACTTGTGGGTTAAACAGACATTGCAGTCAAAGGGAAATATGTATTCTCTATATATTTAGTCATGAAATATGTAAATTAAATTGTCTCAATCCTGTATGTCAAACACCCCGATCTAATGCGGTAATGAAATACAGAGGCGTGCTCAATTAAAAATACCCCAACTAAGATGTTTTTACACCTTCAAATACAAATGAAGTCGATGACTTCTTTAAATTCATGGGGTAAACGCTATGAATACACTACCAACGCTCCCCTGCTTCTCCAACTTAGGTCCTTCACTTGTTCGAGGCCGGGCCATGAAGTGTGTTGTAATGTGGGCTGAGAACAAGAACACCCTTGCTGATTGAAATGATGGGTTTAAAATTTTAAATCATGCTGATTTACCTCCAGTGCATCCAACAGGAACATTGATTAATGTTATTTGAGGTAAACGTCTTGTAAGATCGTCCACTAAGTTGGGAATAATAGAAGAGATGTGAACAGTCTTCACAACTCTACGTGAGCACGCAGACGCCATGTTTCGAAATTAGGGCGGAGGGAAGATTGGCACGAGTCCAATCTCCTCGATCGAGA